ACAAAAACCGAGCAGGCACCACCGAGCAGGTTACAACGCGTCCTGGGTGCCCTGGGATGCGGAGCCCTGAAGCACGCTCGCCCATTGCTGCTACAGCCAGTCCCACATACAATGGCCATTTGTCCACACTTCTAGGGAGAAGGCAGCTTGCTGCAAAAGATTGCTCTGGGAAGGCTGCTCGCTGCCCAGAAATCGCAGACAAATGGCCAAGTCCTCTCCCCACCTCCCAGCAAAATTTCCAGGAGGAAAAAGTAGAGTAAGTATGGACATTTTTCTCTGGCTGGGGACCTGATGCCAGTTTCTTCAGCTGTTTGATGCAGTGGCACAGATATTTGGTTTCATTAATCCCGAACCAGGCCATCTGTCACCAGTGGAACAGGTTTCAAGGATTTACAGGATAGAAACACAGAGTCTGTAACTGCTCCCAGTCCATTAAATCGACCTGTTTGCAGGCTTAACAGACTCCTTCATACCTCCCTCCTGAAGTGGAGTGGTTCCTGATGTGAGAACGAATCCGTACCAGACAGAAAAACTACCAGATTCTTTTCAGAGCAGCCTAAAGGGGTTAACGGCAGGCAAAAGCCATTATTGGTCTTTTAAAATTCCTTTCAAAAACTTAGAAGCCTGCTGGGAGGAGCATCCTGTTTCCTCACACCTCCTTCCTAGATCCAGATGGAACAAAGGTGACAAAATATTCTCAGACTGAGTGTGTGTCTCTGTCTGGCTACTGCTCTGCTTTTATTCCACAGCTGGCTCCTGGAAGAATTCGCTCCAGTTAAAAGAACCAGCACCAATGTGTGTGTATATATACTGGCCACAGAGGATGTGGGTGAAGGTGAGGCTCCATCCAGGGGGTTGCCTAGGACGAGTCAGACAGCCCCACGTATTACAACTGCCTCAACTAAGAAAAAAAGGAGGGTCATTGTCATAGGTGATTCCCTTCTGAGGGGAACAGAGGGCCCGATCTGCCGACCGGACCCATCCCACAGGGAAGTCTGCTGCCTCCCTGGGCTCAGGTTAGGGATGTTGCTCGGAAACTCCCTGGTCTGGTGTGACCTTCTGGTTATTACCCCCTCTCGGTAATGCAGCTTA